GATCAGTAAATTATTTAAGTGAACCTGTACCCATATCTTTAAAATAACAACAAACACATCTTTAGAAATGTTTAGTAATGACAATCTACAAACACATACTTCTAGATAATTGCCGGCTTTGTATTCTTTGCAGACCTTATTTCTATTTTCTTCCACAGTTTTCTCACCATGGCCATGTTTACTAAGGGCAGATTACTAGCTCTTTCACTTCCTGGATTTCTGGCGCACGTGACACGTGACCGTGCACATTATCTGTGGGGAGGAAATTGCCTTTGCCTGAGATCTCGTGAGATTACAGATGAGATTTCCCAGCAATGCTCTGCTGATGACAAGGCAATCCCAGTGTGCATTGCTTTGCCAAACTGAAGTCATTTTGCCCTTTAAAAGCAGGAGGTAAATGCTCTGCAAGTGTAAGTATTTCAAAATCCCAGCATTTTACACCTGACATGTCTATGTTTCTATTAATCATCATACATAGAGGGATGCATTGGTGGAATTTGATTTTTGAGTGTAAATGTCCGCTTTAATTTATTTATCATACTGGATAAAAAGAAACATTAAAAAAAGTATTACATCAACATAATACAGACTCATAATTGGTATTCATAAGCAATCTGCTATTTCTCCCCATCAGACAGCTAGATTAATAAAATCTATTCCACCATAGCTTCACAAAATCATCTGTAACTTTAAGACGCTGATTTATTTATTTTTTGGATGGGGTAAGAGCTGCATTTTTCCACGTGTTTCGCAGAGATCCCACGCTCCTTCAGGAAATTTGTGATAAACAATCAGTCCCAAACATGGTCAAGGACACCACTGAGATGCATCCGGCAAAAAACACCACCATTCCAGAAAAGCAAGTGAGGCATACACAGGAGGTCATCCCCTCCATTTCCCCCTCTTTAAGGAGCTCCTTCTACTTAATAAAAGGGCATCTTTTGTCATAAGGATAGTGTCCCCAAAGTCTAGAACATACCAGTAATTCTAATGTATCCCATGTGGAACTATATAAATCAGAAAACACATACACCCACCAATACAGATGGGCCTGGCTGCACACGTATCATCTCAAAATTTCTCCTGATGGATGGGGGAAAGATCCACAGCAGACACCCCCCTGTCACTCATTCACTACAGTTGAATCAATCACTGTATTTTAAAATACATGCACCGAGAAAATTCACCTGCAGTAAATGCATGGTGAATGTCACATTCAATGCTTTATAAACATGCAATTGTTCTTTCCAATTTGCAACTGAAAAATACAATATGTAATCTGGATGGATGATATAGGTAACAAGGACAGTTTTTTCAACCACTTGAAGACCAGGTGTTTACACCCCCTTCCTGGCCAGGCCATTTTTCAGTATTCAGCGTTGGGGTACTTTGACTGACATTTATTCCATCATGCAACGCTGTACTGAAATTAGTTTTATACAATTTTTTGGGGACAGATTTTACATTATGTTATAATACAAATATAAAAGACTGGGTCACGTCGGGTAAATAGACACCAAACATGTCAAGCTTTAAAATTGCGTGCACCCACGAAATCGCAAAAAACTACCATACCCAAATTGATCATAGGCGATGCTTTAAAAGCTTTTACCGCTCATCAGTTTAGTGTTATCAGTGATTAATGGCCCTACAATTATTGCTCTCACTGGGACGTTCGCGTCAATATGTAACATGTGCGTCGTAATGAGAGCAATCCATGTTTTCACCTGTGTTTATATGGGTGGGGACTTTAACAAAAAACTATTTTTGCAACTTAAATTTTTCCCCCCACTTAACTAAAACCCCCCTATGTGATAGCAAAAGGATGCGACAGGTCCTCTTTATGGAGACATCAGGGGTCTCCAAGATCCCTAATGTCACCTAGGGACCCCCAAAGAAGCTGATGAAGCAGATATCTGCTTCATCAGCTTCTCAAGCTGGAGAGTGACAGCAGAATGCGGAAGTGACACAGGAGAGGGGATCAGAGGGAGATCGTGTACTGAACTCCGTCACAGAGCCACCGAGAGGAATCAATTTCTTGTCTATTTGAAAAGGGAAATAGCAGGTGTCTGTTTTGACCTCTGATATCTCCCCAGAGCGCCCAACAGTAAAAGTAGAAAGTAAAAATAATTTTAAAAAGGTTTGGGAAATTTTTTTTTATTTTTGGTTTGGTTACCTTTTTACCCTAAACCAATCATCTAATTAAAGAAAAATAAAGTACAAGCAGGTAGAAAGTGGCCCTACCCTTTTTTGACATTCTTCTTCTTTGCTTCTGCACTTGGGGGTGGGGATGGGGAACGTTTCCTCTTTTTGTAATTAGGTCCCTTCTTGTCCCTGCGGTCCGAGTCAGGACTGCTTACCTTTAAGTAGAAAGCAACAAAAAGCTACAAACTTGACAACATAGTTTGAAACTCAGAATGTCATCAGCTTACCGGCCACATTTACTTTGGAACAGGGAATACTCACCATCTAAATCTCTATTTCAGCAGGTTCTAAAGGTAACATAACAGTCTTACTTAAAAGTAAACCTTTAAATAAGACTATCAGGCTGTCATGCTGAATCTCTGGCTGTCATTCTGAACATCTTGCTTCAATGATTTGAGTCCCTGACCTGGAACAAGTTTACAGATTAGTTCTGACTTTACTGTGACCCTCCGGATCTGCATACTTGTTCTGGGTCAGTCGACAGGCAACCAGCATTTAAGTAAGTGGTTAGTAATGACAACCCCTAATTTTCTCAGATGACATGCATATGTTAATAAAGTTTCAGTAAAAAAGGGCAATATTTAAGCACAAATCTAAAATCTATGAAAAAAAAAAAAGAAAACATTCCTATTGTGATCATTTTTAATGTATACTACTTCCATCCTATACATTCAGTGATTCACAGTGCCAGACTGTGATCAAATAATTTAAATGAAAATGTTGGCAGGCAGTACATTTAAATATATATGTGCATCTTTATGTAGCAGAAATTGCTCTTTCAAAAGCTCTTTCAAATTCCTGTATGGAATTAGCACCGCGCTCACTTCCTCTGGTGCTGGCATATAGTAACTGTGGTGGACAACAATGCCGATAAAGGTGGTGGGAAATGGGCATAGGTTGGTTCATACTGACAGAGAGGTAACAGGCCTGGCAGTTTGAAAAACCTTGTCTGCTCGTTCAAATGAAACATAAATAGAGTCAAGTGCAATTCTGATTTTTTTTTTGCAATTTGTTTCTGATATTTGCCTGTGTAGTTTGAAAGAAAATGTAAAGCAAGAAAGCATGCCTAGAATGTTAACCAAGAAACAGAGTATAGGAAAGCCGCTTGAGGTCTACAAGATCCCAGCACTGGTATAAAACGGAATCTAACAGAAGAAAGGTCTGACTAAAAACAGGCACAAGATGCCCATTATGACCTTTTCAGTATGCTATAAAGGGACCTGACTTCAGGGATATTCTCATGTACATTGAGAGTGTCCTTACTAATCACAGAGGATGGGCACTGGCATGGTACAGCCCTTAGTCAGGCCCCTAGTAACAAAATGAAACTAGTTTCAGAGAGGCATACACAGGGAGATTTTGTAGCTGGCATCAACTCAGAGGTAGGGCTTTTAGGTTGGTCCCGAGGCATATAGTGGCTGAGTGATAAGATCCAAATAGTAATGTCCCTGGAAATGGGGGGGAGGGTGTCATACAAAGCATGGAATTTAAATATTTTATAAGAAATGATTACATTTAGGGATGATCTGTGATTGAATTTAAATACACTGAAAAAGTTAAGAGTATTTACAAAATGTTTAAAGAATCAAAAAAACAAAACTAATTTTTAGGTGGGGTGGAATAAGCTTTAAGCTTAAATATCTTTACTGTTGCAGGAATTTGGCAAGGGAAGATTCCCCATTAAAAAAATATTTTCAAAGGAAAAGAAATAATAAAAATCAAATAAGAGATTGAGTACACTATATTGTTAAAAATGACCTTTCCATTTCAATCTGTTGTGTCTTTTGTTAACTATCAAAAATTAATTGAGGGGAATTTATCAAGACTGGAGCAGGCAGAATCTTTAGCAGATGTTTATGGTAACCAATCAACTTCTATATTTCATTTCCAAAGCATAACTGACAAACCAAAGATAGAACCTGGTTCAGTTGCCCATAGTAACCAAACAGCTTCTGTCTGCTCCAGTCTTAGTAAAATTACCCCATTGCTTCCTGGAAATATGGCCAGCTGGGGGTGATCGGCACACTGCACTAACCCAGACATATTTCCTGTTTGTGATTGCTTCTCTGCTTTTCAGACAAAAACTACGCTCCGCAACAAATCAAATTCAGGCAACCCTTGTGATAGGAGACTTATTTTGGGACCAGATAATATCGAAAGCTCTAAAGGTATGTAAACACTACAGCTTTTTGCCTGAGATTGCTCAGATGATCACAAAGAAGGCAGACTTCCCTTTTATAATCATTAATATAACCCTGACAGCTAGACTACAGCTTAAACAGAAATGACAGTGAAAGGATAAGTAAAGAATAGAGCATTGCAAAGTGACCTCTATAACAGGAGATTGCAGTAATGATCTCACTTCATCAGTCAAGGTCTTGGCTGAGATCTTCTTGCGACGTGCAACAGGATTGCGATCATCATTCACCTCATAATCTTCTTCATTCATCCACTCGTTAAATGAGTCAGTGTCTAGGATCCACTTGGCATGCACCTACTCAGGGAGAAAACAAATTATGAACTTGTTCAAGTTAAAACTGAACTCTAGACAAAAACATTTTGTGCTTCCGATAGAGGGCAAAGCTTTTCATCTGTGTCTGGGTCCCTACTGAGGAGACTTTATTTACATGGTTTTCTTCTGAAGTAAACTAGGTTTTTAACACTCAATTTGTGTATTTTATGTTACATAAAAGATAGTATTAACCCCTTCGTGACTGACGACGTACAGTGTACGTCGCCAGCATCGGGGCTGTTTAAACAGACTCCCGGCGACTTTTGCATTTTATCCAATTAATGGAAAAAATAAATCGGCACACGAATCGATTATGAAAATAATTGTTATTTGCAGCCCTAGACGGGAATCTCCCACACACCAGCACAGCAACGTTTGTAAGCAGGGTATGTTTCTACACAGCTGCTCTATATCTGAGAAATCCACAGGAAAAAAAAAACAGCAAGCCTTTCTAACCACAAACATCAAACAAGTTCAGCCAAGAAAAACTGACACTCCAAATAAATCTTAAATTTGTCAAATGATCAACCTGCAACAATGTAATGTAAAAGGCGTGACACACTGCTCTTATTAGCACACAACCTACAAAATGATGATTTACCTTGCGTGGCTTTTCTGCGGTTGGTGCATCTTCCACTGGAGCTTCAATTTCGCTTGCAGGGATCCAGGTATCATAACTGAGAGGGAAAAAAATGTATATATCCATTCACAGCTGTTACAAAGTAATTACCATTATCACAGACAAAACAAACCAGATAAGAAGTAAGAGATGGGTCTTTTCTCTGCAGATAAGCTGGCTGTTCCTTCCTCCTCTCACTGAATAGTTATAGACATATACATTACATTCAGCCAGCCTAAGCCTACATGTCTATAGGCAGCCAGCCAGCCAAGAGACAAACCTCAGGGTCGAATCAAGCCTGCACACCTGACCTCCCCCTCTAGCTCTATGGCTAGCTTACATAGCCCAAACTAATAAAGATTTTTTTTTCCAATTTTAACCACTTGAAGTCCGCGGTGTTAAATCCCCTTCCCATCCAGGCCATTTTTATGGCTCAAAATGATTGCTCTCACTGCGACGTTCGCAGCGATATGTAACGTGTGTAGCGCAATTATCATTTTTGCACGCTGTTGCACCGGACGCGTATTTACATTTATATCTGCGTAAATGTGGGGGTGGGGGACTTAAAGTGACATTAAACCCTCAGATTTTTTAACATAAAACAATACTGTAATGTGTGCCTTACTGTAATCCATGGTTGTTTCCCTTCTCTTTGCTGCTGTTCCTTTTAAATCCTCATGTCTTCTCATGCTTGGGGAGAACTTCCCTTTGCAGCTGAGTGCCTCTTCCTGTAGTGCTGGCTCAGGTTGCAAACCTGCACACAGACACCATGTAGCCATTCCAGAGACAAGGCAGTCTGCTGCAAAACAGAAGTTCTGCCCAGCATGAGAACAGATACAGATTTAAAAGGAAGAGCAGCAAAGAGAAGGGAAACTACCATGGATTACAGTAAGGCACACATTACAGTATGGTTTTATGTTAAAAAATCTGAGGGTTTAGAGATGAGCACATCTCCTCAGCCCCTGACGAGACGAGCACATCTGACAGACGAGCACATATACACGATCGGCTGGCTATAGAGCCGCCGATCGGGTATATGTTAAACAGCCGGTAACGGCTCTCATGGCGAGATGGGAATCAGACTTGGATGTCATACTTACCGATGAGGAAATCCGAACTTCATGCGTGGTCACTCAAACTCTCAGTGGCTAGCTCAGCCCAGGAGAAGGGCTATAAAATCTGGACCCGCTGGTATCGCTGCCTGACCCTCTTACATAGAATATTCCCTGATAGGTCTTCCTCCTGCTGGAGGTGCCTGAACGAGGAGGGAACCCTCTTACACATCTGGTGGAGCTGCCCCTTACTGGCACCTTTGTGGACTCGGGTCTTCCACATTTACAATCAGGTCATGGGAACCGACCTAACACCGTCCCCTAAAATAGCACTTCTCTCGATTCTGCCTGGCTCCCTGGCTTCAGTTAGGAAGGACTTGCTCCGTTTCTTCCTGGCGGCGGCACGCAACATTGTACCCCGCCACTGCAACACGGTGGTCACCACGACCGTGCAGGAATGGATTGCGGAGTTGTGTTTGATTATGCGTTTTGAGGAACTGACGGTTTCATTACATGAGCGTCAGGCCCAATGTGCAGTACTATGGGCCCCTTGGATTATTTATATGGGTACAGCGGATTTCCTGGCCTTATAAAGGGTCCGGGTTTCTCCTGCTGGGCGAGCACTGGGACACTGTCTCTACTGCAACTATCTCATGCCCCTACGGTCCTACCTGGAATGCTAGATTCGATGGAGCCTCCCCTCTCCCCTGTGTTTTCCATGTAATGTCCATCCCTGTATGTCCCTTTCTCCCCGGTCTAGAGTTGCGTGTGTACTTAACCCCCTTTTGTTATTGTATGTTGTCCTATGTTGTCTGGTTCGCTGGGATGCAACACGGCCGTATCCTCTGCACACATGCACTCCATGAGAGGTGTGCAGTACACAAAATAAGGCACATGCCTTTTTATCTGTGCGACAGCCCCAATACATTGCATGCGACTACAGAGTATTAGTTGCGGGAGCATATGCATATCTACCCACTGCACATGTACTAAGAGATGGAATGTAACTGCATACGATGGAACTATGAGGATGATCAGACGTGTCTGTACTATGTTTATCTGTATTCTTGTATTTTTGTACTTTGTATATTGAAAACTGAAATAAAATCTTATTATTTAAAAAAAAAAAAGGCCAAACAGTTTAAAAAAACCCAAATGGTTTCCCTATGCTTTATGTCGTGAAAAACATAGCAAATAAAAATGCCAGGAAAACCCCCTGAAATTATCTCTTTTTGGAAAGCAGACACCCAATGGTAATTTGGTTTTTGGCCACAATTTTTTGGAAATAAAGAAACATGCTGGTATTGAGGGGGTTAAAACAAGGAGCTTGGTAATGGTGCACGAGATACAATAAATGTACAGGTCATACACATAGGGAGGAGGGGGTGAACGGGTAATGTACAGATCACATACAGTGGGAGGATGGAGATGAAGGGGTTACTATGCAGTTGTGCAGGATAAGGGAGGTGAAGGGGTTAATATACAGCTCAGAGCAGAGATTGAATTAAGCTGACATATACAACAAAGGTGATGAGAGTTAAAAATCCTGACACTTTATTATTGTGTGCTGCTTCCACAGCTAGTTTTCACCAGGAAATAATGAATGAGTGATTCATCCATTCATAAGTTCCTTTACACATGCCCCCCCGGCTGCTTATGTAGGAGGAAGGGGAGGGCTTGGCAGTGTAAATATGGTCATGTGATTGCTGTGATAACCAATAATCACATCACAAAGCACAGAGTCAGTCCGATTGGCTCTGTGCCTGAAGCCAATGCTCCCCCCACTGTCTAATGAGAGCAAGAGCAGTAAGCTTGTGCATGTGCTGGGCGCACACACGTAGATGTAGATTCCAGTAGTACATCCTCCTGGAACAACAGGGTTGTGAACTGGCTGTATAGAGAAACATGTGACTAACTCCATATGACAATGCATGGCCAATCAGCATCGTCAGAGGGGTTTCCAAAGTCCTGTGTAAGCTACAAATCTGATGACTTAAAGCTTACACAGGGCTTTCCTTTTACTCCTGGCAGCTAAGCAGAGAAGGAGTAAAAAAAAGGTAAGTATATGTTATGGGAAAGCAGGAATTAACCTCTTGCCGTCCGCCCGTAGTAAAAAAACGGACGGACGGCACTGCTACATCTGCGGGTTGACGTCTCCAGACGGCAATTTTTTTCTGCTCGCGCGCGCCCCCTAGCGGACAAAGCAAAGATTTACTTTAAAGTAAATCTTTCCTCTTACCTTACCAGGATTTTGAGATGTAAAAAAAATAATAATAATTAGACCATGATAAAACACTTCACAATTATTTGCACCTTTAACCACTTGCTGCCCGGGGCAATTTCTTACTATTTGCATACACGTGATCAAATCTGAATTTTTGGCTAGAAAACGGCTTCAAACCCCCCAAACAATTATATATTTTCTGAAAGCAGAGGCCCTGTAGAATAAAAACTGCAGTTGCAATTTTTTATGTCGCATAGTATTTGCGCAAAATTTTATCAAACATGTGCGTGTACGTGGGGGCGAAAAACTTTCAACTTTTTTTATATGTGACTTTCATTTTTTTTTTTTTACACTTAACTTTATTGCTATAACATAGGGGGCTAACAATTGCAAATATGAAGTGACAGGTCCTCTTAATGGAGACATCAGCGGTCTTTAAGACCACTAATGTCACCTAGGGACCCCAAAGAAGCTGATGAAGCAGAGAATGTGGGAAAATGTGTTATGATCCGATAAGACGCGGCGCAAAACAACACTGCATCACCAAAAGAACACCATACCCACAGTGAAGCATGGCAGTGGGGCTGGTTTCTTCATCTGGAACTGGGGCTTTAGTCAAGGTGGAGGGAATTATAAACAGTTCCAAATATCTGTCAATTCTGGCACAAAACCTTTAGGCCTCTGCTAAAAAGCTAAAGATGAATATCCCCTTTCAGCACGACAACGACCCAAAGCATACCTCCAAAATCAACAAAAGAATGGCTTCACCATGAGAAGATGAAAGTTTTGGAATGGCCCAGCCAAAGGCCGGACCTGAATCCAATTGAAAATCTGTGGGGTGACCTGAAGAGGGTTGTGCACAGGAAATGCCCTCGCAATCTGACAGATTTGGAGTGCTTTTACAAGGAAGAGTGGGCAAAGATTCCCAATGCAAGATCTGCCATGCTGGCTTCTACCCCAAAAGACTGAATGCTATCATAAAATCCAGAGGTGCTTCAAAAAAGTATTAGTTTAACCCCTTGATGCCTAAATTAATTTTCAATTTGATAAAAAAATTAATTATATGCGTTTTGGCTATCAAGCAGATACAAAATTAAGTGGAGATTGTTAATTTGAATATAGCACATACAATGGAGAAAAATACAGCTATGATGCAAATTAGTGACATTAGGCATTTAAAAAGTCATTGTCCAGTACCTGCAGTAAGCAATTCAAATGACAAAAATTATCAAAAAATCAATAGAATGTCATGAAAATCAACAAAAAGTCGTATGAGAAGAAATAGTTTTACTCGTGGAATTCTCGAAAGCAGTTTTTGTTCTTGTCGAGTGGAACTCGAACTGGTGGAACCTCGATTTATAAAGAAAAATGGCAAAATATCAGCTTTGCACGTATTACTTTTTATGTAATCGAGCAGATTACACCTAAACATAATTGTTCATATGCAGCCATAACTGCCTAATGTCGCGAAAAAGTGAAATCTGCACATAACTTCAAAATTTGTCGTCACATGGAGTTGACCCCAATCTGTAAGCCGTAGCAACAAACAATAAGCTCTTGCTATTAGACCTTTCTGCTGCTTTTGACACTGTTGACCAAAGGGCGTTCCCTAAAGACTCATCTCTTCAGGGAAGCCTATCCCACCTCGACCTAACCACTGAACCTTCACATTCTCACAGCTACCTCATATATCATTTCCCCCTCCTCTTTTAGATTGTAAGCCCTCAGGGGCAGGGCCCTCCTTACCATCTTGTCTTGAATTGTAGTGTAACTGTAATGTTTTCCTTATATTGTAAAGCGCTGTGCAAACTGTTGGTGCTATATAAATACTATGTAATAATAATGTAATAATAATAAGCTATTGCATATTTTTATTTTACAAAAATAACCTAAAATGTAGACAATTTTATCAAAATTAGCAGTCAGCAGCCATGTGCATGACTGCACTGACGGCTTTGCGTACTTCAAGCAGATGTAGCTAACTATACTACTGCGACAGGGCGCGATCAGTGCTCACAAAACAATCTTTGGTACTTATTGAATACAAATAAACCGGCATTGGCGGAATACACACACCACCTCAGCTGCATTCAGGGGTTTGATGCGTTTGATGTAAAACCGCGACGGTCGTCATCAAGGGGTTAAGGGTGTGCATATTAATGCAACCACATTATTGTACATGTTTTATTTTATTTGTTCCCCCTTTAAAGATTTTAGTTTGATTCTAATTGAATTAAACACATTATAGGTCACATTAAAGTTGGAAAAAATTCTGAAGTAATTTGGTCTGATTTTTTTACATCTCGAAAACCTGGCATTTCACAGGGGCGTGTAGACTTTTTATATCCATGGTAAGTTAGAAAAACGTCATCTGCTGCCTCCAACTATAGCACGTACCATAAGGTGCAAAATGGTAACTCTTCCCAGGGCAGTTGTAGCCTCTAATATTTACTACAAACATACTGACTTTCTGGAAGTTGGTATTTGTATTGGCTTAGGTATGCCCCACCCCAAACATGGCTTTTTTAGGGTCCAATGACAGGTTGCTTAAGGACCAAGTGCCATCCTGCAAGGTAGGCAGATTGCATGATTCTTCTCCTCAAACTCTGGGACTGTTTAACAAGCCACAGCAGAACCAAGAAGAGGAGAACACATAAAATAAACATGCCCTCTGGCACCTCATGGGGACCACTAACATGGTGGGTAATTACTTTAATAACAAAGGTTTTCTTGAACCAATGCAAAAGAAAAGTTTCAATTATGCCAAAGGTTTTGAACTAAAAGGGTGCATCCTAACACCTTTAAAACATGTCTTCTTCCTAAATCAGAATTGCACGCAATAAGGATTATTCTGCAAGACAAAAAGAGGCCTATTCTGACCAATCGCTATTCAAATTATTTTACTTATTTTAGTAGCCAGAGAACTGTTAATTGCACATCATCTTCTCTCTCTGCATGACTTTAATGACGCAGACATGAGTATGCCTTGAAATCTACATGATGGAAAGAATGTAAACAATGATAGGTCTTACCTGTCAGGATGGTAACCCCAATGAAGAAGAACCTGCTTGTCACGCTTCAGTATGGGTCGCACCCATTCTTCTAAATACAGAAAAGCATAACAAATAATAAGCACGGCTCTTCATTAGCATCGAGGATACATATCATAATAAAGGGCATGTATGGGGGGCTGCCATTCTGCAAAGCTCAGGCTACATCTTAAATCAGTGACCACAAACCTATACATCTTCACTGCATGTGAAGACGCTGCCCTGAAAAAAATAAGGCACATAGGAGGAAAGAGAATGGTTGCTTCCATTTAAGTCTTCTGAGAAATTTAAATGGTCTAGTTTTGCATTCATTGAACAATGTATTTTTTTTACAATACCTAAATATGTCTTTTGCTACCTGTACCACTGTGCAGCAGCACTTACACTGGGATGGGGAGGGGCAGGACTTTGAGTCAAGTAGTATGTTTCTCTGCAAAATGCTGGCAATATATGATTCCAAACATGCTTCAGGAAATACCTTTTAGGTGCGTGGTGTGTGTGTTTGTTTTACTTATAACAGCATTCATGAAGCTGAAGCATTATGCTTTAACAAGAAAACACTTCATGATTACCAATAATGTTACCCTTAGGGAATTCACCAATACATACTCAGCTTACTCATCAATTATAATACTACAACATTCCACTCTGATGTGAATGTAATAAAAAGATATTTACAAATCACTAACATTATTTACTACGTTATAAACTATTTGTTCAGTCTGTAAATAGGTGTTGTAGGGTGTCCAGCAGCTAAGGGTTATAGGACTATTAATCTGTAACTAATACTTCTAAAGAGAAAAGAAAAAAATATCTAAAGGAAATTAGGACTGCTACATCAGTGTAGAATTTTGCTGAGGCTCAACGATAAATGAACCAATGTTTCAGCAACCAGTCTATTCAACCAAGAAGTCAACGGGCACTTCCAAAAGGATCTTATCAGGACTGAAATACGGAAGCCTCCATTGTTGACTTGATTTGGAAGGTGCACACTCTAGGGTTGTCATCCTTATCCGTCCTTCACAACTTTGTTAGTCACTGATCTGAACCAGGCGCTAACTCTGAGTATTTCCAGTGTTGGGGTAAACTCCATTCAAGTTTATGGGGGGGGATCACTGCACAAAAAATGCCAACAGCGAAGGAGTCGACAGCCGTCATGCTGAGGTAAGCAAACAGCCGGGAGAGGGGTTTCTTGGATAAGGGGGATATCAAGGGTGGACTAATGCACATTTTACTAAAAGTAGACTTTAAGCAACCTAAAAACATTATTTAGTGCTGGACAAATCAAGGCTGCCAAAAAAACAATGTTCATAAAAACTGAATCTGCATTTTGTTAACCTATTTTAATTGTTTCCAGTGGAAACATATGCTCCTTAAAACTGTCTTCTATTGTCTTCTATGGTGGACTGTAACTCCTGCTTCCCTGAAATGACTACATACATTACAATAAGACAGTAAACGAAAACAAATGAACATGCCCTTTAGTGTATCATATACCAGCCTGACATTAGATGGAAAATAAATTATAAACAGTGTACATTATATAGGCAAATTCATAACTAGAGAAGCACAAGAACATTTTATGTAGCTAATACTCAGATGTAAAACAGCTTCCTTCACTTCAAACGTCATTGCACTCTCCTGCTAAAAGCAGCATTTGTATCATAAGATAGCCCCGGGCACATAATATGAAGGAGTAATATTCTGACCTTCCTCCAAGTTGCCAGGAACTGGAACCACCACATGGGAAGCATGACTTTTGTCCTCCGTTACAGTACCCTAGAGAAGAATTGAGAAATTCAGCTTAACGTGGAAAAAAGAAACACAACACAAGCGAACACTCAACAAATGTTCATAAGAGTGAATTAAAGTGTACGAGAACGGTTGGAACCTCTGTCAGGTTTTTATTGCTTTTTTCCCCACTACAAACATTTCTTGTGGTGACCACACCAGATGTGAGATGCATCTCTTCAATGGGGACACACACAGAAGTTCAAAGTACTTTTACAGCTGGGTGTCCTCTCAGAATAGATTCTGCTGACATGCTGTCCAGTGACCGCAAAACTGATGGGAAATATTACTAGAAGGGACCAAGACAGCAATAGAAAAAGAAGTATAAACCCTTGCCAAGTTTCCACATTAGAAAAGCACAGTTTTAACCACTTCAAGACCAGGTGTTTAGACCCCCTTCCTGGCCAGGCCATTTTTCAGTATCAAACATCTTGTAGTTGTGCACTGCCTATGGCTTTACATCCGATAGTATGTGGAGTGGAATCACAGGTTAAGTGGCCAGATGATCAGGTGTAGGAGCTGTCAAAGAGGTCCATGCAATCCAGGGTATGTGAGGAAATTGTATGGCTGCGAGAGTAAGCATAACCATGTATTATAGGAAAATAATACCAAGTGAAACGTACGATACCCACAATAAATGTGTGAAGAGTGGCTGTTGAAGGGATCTAAATGGATGCTGTTCTTCACAGGAGACAAAGTTCCTCTATTTAGCAGTACCCCATGAGAGGAGGCATTCACTACTAGACAAAGTCTCTCCCCCTTTAATAAGTATATCCCACCACTAGGTAAGTGATGCTTTTTTACTGATGTCCTGATTACCTGATGTCTTTTTACAATGTCCTTCAGCTTGCTCTGTAGTTTGGAGTCTATGTCCGGATGAAGATATATATTGGGTCGCGACAGACAGTTATTCTGTGAAAGGGATACAAAGAGTATGAAGTCTACACAATGCCAGTGTAGAATCAATATAGGATGTAAGAAGAGAATTATACTGCCTGCTGTCTTATGCTACACAAAATTATATTGGAGAAGGGAGCAGAAATGAACCAACATAGACATTTAAGGGAAAGCCATACTGAACAAAGTGTGGAGGCTGCCACTGCTGATCTCCTACTGACAATGCTGGTTTCCTAGATCTCTCTGGCTTCAATACTTTGGGAGCCACTCATCTGGAACAAGCATGCAGATTGGGAAAGAGTTAAGTTAGGACTCTTGATCTGCATTCATGTTCAGTGTCCCCTAAAATATCAGCATGACAGCCAGGCAATTAACATTTTTAAAAGGAGAGTTGAGTAATGGCAGCCTCCATACCTCCATAGTACAGACTTATTTTAAAAGATTAAAATACAAGTGGAACAAAAGCAATTATATGCAATGGAGATATCTTAAGTGTAACACAAATCCAATATGTGTTATCACAAGACAAGTAAAGGAAAGACAAGACTACCTGCACAAGGGACTTTTCAATGTTCATGAACATTTCCACATTGCGGTCCATACGGGATGGGTTCTGAAAGTCAAACCTGCGCCTGAGACGATATATAAAAAAATTAGACAACTGAATCACTGTGAATATGACCACCCTACCCAAAACTAATTCTACAGTAACGGCTAATACGATCATGTAAGCAGAGCAATAAGACAATCTCCCGGTACATACAAGAAAACTAATAGGGCTTCCCCAAACAAAATCCTAACCAATCATCAGTCTGACTTTCAATAAGATAGCTTGAAGCAGACAATTGTGTTGACATGCTGATGAACATGCTGATATGAGAAGAGTGAGCAGAGACATGACTTCATCATTCTGCTGCTGATCTTTTACTGCTCAGTCAGCAGAAACTCAAGTATTATTGGATTGTGTGTTGCATGTACTAGTGGAAATTAGGACATTTTTAGAACAGGACAATATATTGAATATTATAGTAAATCTTACCATCCCTGGTCACTCTTGAATTTATAAGCAGCAGCAAGAATATGGCACAGAGAGCCTCCCACCTTAAAGTCTAGGAAGCATTTCATCTGCAAAGCAAAATAGTAAAATAGAATAAGTGTGCAACTTTGCAAACTAAATACATGATGCTGCACATACACAATATCTCACAAGTATTCATGTTTAAGAAGCAGCAACTATCGAAATATGGGTTTTCCTGTAAGCAATACAAGAAAACTAGCCCACAAAGGTGGTTATTCTTATTTAAGTGCTGACTACGTAGATATTACTTTGAACATCCCATAGCTGCTGTCTAACACTAAACTCAGGAGTTCAATCTTAAAAGTACAATCAAGTACCTTATCTATTAACAAAAATGTATTTATTTGTTTTGTGTATCGCTCAGCTGTAGATCCTCAAATCATCTCTGAATTGGTGCGGACACTGTCCTTCTTTCTTGAGGGTGGCCACTTTGTTCCCCATGGTCCCTGTGTGTGTTGTAAAGTGGCCAGCGCTCTAAGCTCACTCCCGTGATGGACTACAATCTCACATTTAGTTGACTAATGTATATTGAAATTGTAGTCCATCGTGGAAGCAAACTTGGAGCAGTGGCTACTTTACAAGTCTCTTGAACGTTCTGTCGCACTCCTTACCGGATAACGCTTATGAGGAGATGGGTGCTGAAATGACTGCGGATGGCGCCACGTTGATCAATATAATGTGATTAATATAATTATATTATATTTACATTGTAAAGCGCTGCACAAACTGTTGGCGCTATATAAATCCTGTATAATACTAATAATGTCAGGAATGTCCCCAGCACACTGAAAAGTCGTGTCCAAAACTTCCTCTTTATTCACGCATTATGTCACATTACAGCGCAATGTTTTGGGGCCATGCAGGGTTCCCCTTCATCAAGCTTAATATGACTACAGTACTTTACAAGACACACACAGGGACCATGTGGAAGAAAAGTAGCCACCCTCCAGAAGGAAGGACAGTGTCAGCACAAATTCAGAGATGATTTGAGGATCTACAGCCGAGTGATACAGAAATAATTGCAGAAAATACAGAAATAAGATACATTTTTGGTAATAGTTAAGGTACTTGAATGTATTTTTAAGATTTAACTCCTGAGTTTAGTGCCACTTTGAGTTTTGATAGCACCAATGGGATGTTCAAAGTGATATCTGTGTAGTCAGCACTGAGTTTAGTGTCACTTTAAACCAGCAGACTAATTCAAGGAACCCAATGGGCTGTGCCTGCTGAGCTGAATAACTTGCAATGAAGACCGCTCAGCAAATAATTATCAACACATAGATGGCAATTCATTCAAATGATGTAACAGACAAAAGATATGAAATTTCACTTCACCTAGACTTGCATTACCATTTTTAGGAAAAGTAACCCGGTAACTCTCTCCGTTATTGGTTCCCGGTCTCCTAAACAGATCTAATACTTTTCCATTCACTTACTGGATAAATATTGGTAAGGAGGCCTTTTTATAGCCATACTTTACCTTTTGGACCACAGTATAAAGCATAAACAGTATACTTGCCGGCAATTTAGTAAGCGGTGCATTGCTGACATGTTTTCCAAACACCTCTTCTTGAAACTGTAAGAGCTGGACTACCAGGCTTGACAGGGACTTGTTAGTAGGAGGCTCGGCCTGAATATACTGCAATGAAAACCAGAAAATATTGGTATTAAAATTTTAATTAGTCAACTGATATTGGCCAACCAAGATACAATACAAGCATAGAAATCTTTAGTAGTCGCCTGCTTTATAGAAAGCTCTAAAGACAATGGTGTGAATGTAAAGAAAATGCCTGCTATAGGTAGATGGTGATAGGTCAAATAACTGACCCGCTTCTTACCACTCCTGGCTAGACAACGCTGAGGTCTCTGTGTCTAAAATCCCAGGTCCACCAATCTGTCCTGACTATTTCATGGGCTCTCTAAAAATTTCAATCAATCAGCCATGGGGAAGGTAACAAAAGATGTCATTCTGTACAGCCAATCCTATCATTTGCACACATTTTCCTCACTGTTCTGCCAGACGGGTGACGCACGTAGTTCCTGGCTAATCAATATCTAAACCTAACTACTAACATTTCATATAAACTTTAAAGCAAAACTCCAGGAAGGACTTCAATTTACTAGGGATGTTCAGCTACCAAGTACAGTACTCAGTACAAGTACAGATACCTTTCCAGTTCCAAGACTAGACTAGAGAAAAAATCTAAAGTTAGGAGGCAGCTGTTATTTGTAAGGAGCACACGGAGCTCCTGGGATTTGTACATCCCTGTTTTAATGCATTATTTATTTTTATAAAACATATAAAGGGATGCAACGATACCAGTTTTCCAAGTACAAGTACTGATACTTGCCCAAGAACTCGCAGAAGCAAGTACTGATACATTTGTGTTTATTGTCATGTGACAATTTTTCTAAAACAATACAGACTAATGATTTCAGGACAGTGGTGGAGCGCCAGGTCCCAGCTGCAACCCTGGTAGTTCTCATGAAAATGCCAAGTATCTGCACTGGTATCTGAACATCCATACAATTTACCCTTGCATTGGGGTTACTCCCGCACTGCGAGGGTTAACTGCTCATTTTCACCTAGGGACTAAAATGAAAAAAAAGTTATACTCACCCGATCCTCAGAGCCAGCTTGCCCTTAGACCAGACCCTGGAGCCTCGCTCCCCCTCTGCTCCAGCAGTCTAAGGCCCTTGAATCATCAAGTTTTATACACCGTGTATTGTAGTGGAGAAGGACAGAGGTGGGTGGGAGAGTCATCACAACCAGCCAGCTCTGAGGACCGGGTGAGCATACATTTTTTATTTTAGTCCCTAGAAGAACGTGAGCAGTTAACCCTTTCAAGCAGGGGTAGTCCCACTGCAATTCTGCTTTACTATTTTAAAGTAATTCGAAAAGTCCCTTTCAATATTTTAAAGCCTGCTGCTTTCATTTAAATGATACTTGGTGACCCTGACATAAAAGTCCTTGTTCAGCCACTTCCTCTTATAATGGGATAATGCTCCCAGTTGTTCTCCTGTGATGTCACCCTGTCACATGGGCTTCTGATGGAGACTACACATGGCCACTTCAATCACTAGTCCACTGTTGTCACCATCAGGAAACTGGCCTGAGGAATGCCATGCAGCCATCATTACAGCGCATGTAGACAGGAAGTGGCAGCAAAGACTCTACAGGAAATCAGTAGCACTGAGATGCAACAAAGGATGAAAAAAAAGGTGAAAACAAGTCACTTATTTAAAGGAGAACTATGGGGTTAGGGCTTTTCCCCATAGTTCTCCTTAGGGTAACGGGAGGACACAAACTAGCGTCCTCCCGTCACCCTAGGCTCAGTATACCGCGAGCTGTAGCTCGCGGTATACTGAGACGCCGCAGTATACCGTGAGCTGCTGCTCGCGGTATACTGAGACGCCGCAGCTGAAGCGGATCCCGACAATTGTGCCGGGATCCGCCCGGCTGCATGACTGACAACTGGCTCTGCCTATCGAGTGCAGAGCCAGCTGTACCCGCCCCAGGGGGAATCCAGCCCCTCCCCCGTCAAGGCAGAGAGCCGTGACAGGATAGAGAGGTGAGCGAACCTGGTATGTGTTCGCTCACCTCCCGATCTACTGAGCCGACCTGTGACAGTCTCATTGTTAAAAAAACATCAATTGTTTATGATACACGGTGCTTTAGCAATTCAGCTTCCCATGTGCCCTCTCTGTAAATCGGCATCACCTCTGTCCAGTGACCAGGGAGCTGACCCTGGAAGCAGGAGAGTGAACTTCCTGACCAAAACAAGAACGACTGGCCCTAATTACATGCTTCTAAAGGAAAAGTTCAGGCAAATGTCAGCCATTGATTGTGACGAGCAGCAAGGATTCCTGACTCACTGAATACTAGGTCAAAGGTAACGGAGGATTATATCCACACAACCACATGCTGCTACCATACACCAGCTTGTAAACATTACACTCCAATCTGACGCTGTCACTGCCACATGTGATTTATCCAAATATTTCTTCCAGTCCATCCTGTCAGATCACACACACACGACAAAATAAACTGTATATTATTTATATCATATCTTTTTATTATATACATAAATAATAATTTTATACACAATTTTATTATTTACATTTTAGATTACAAACATTTTATTTTGTATTGGTAACCTCACCACCAAATTATAAAACATTATAAATGTACTGTAGGTTTATTATATATAAAATCCATGGCTGGTGTAGATGGGATGTAGGACCAGTGTTAGGGTAAGTGAGGACAGCGGTCACATGGTGGATCTGTCTACAATGGTGACCTGTAGGTGACATCTGGTGATGTAAGGAATGGGATGATATTTTGGAAGATCTGTAGTAATTGGTGTATTTAGTGTCTTTCTGTCCTCATAATCTCTCATGTCTTGAACCATGCTGACATTTGGGGGTCAATGTTTTTCCCTGCAGCCTCAATCACTGACGGGGGCTGCCATTGATGGATAATCCAAGCATGACTTCTCCAGCGATCCATAATAATAATAAATGGGGTGAGGGCTCCTCCCGGGTGGCAGGCTGGTAAGATAACATCTGGCCGCATGTAGGCCTGACACATGCCCACCTATATTAAGAGATCGGCTGGGCACTGCCACCTCCTGTCACCTAGCACAGCGATGTGTCAGCCGGCCGCTAGGCACAGGACTTGCCGGCTGGCAGCTCGCCATCCCCCCCCGTGTCGCCGATCCCCCTCCCCCTAGCCGGGCCCGGCTCTTTGTTCTCGGTGTACAGACAGGGAGGAGACGCCTCAGTTCTCGCCAGGACACCAGGCCTCCCCTGCCGGTACCTTCTTGTAGTTTTTCCCCAGCCATAGCCGCACGTTGTCGAACTGAGAGATTGTGTCAGAGGACTCATAAAATTTCACGTTCGGCCCGCCGTCCTTCTTCCGCACCGCCATCTTCTGCCAGCCTGACCGGCACCTTCAGCTTTACAGCAAGGCGACATCTAGTGGCCGCAACTGCATACTGCAACTCCAGAACCCGGGGAGAGTGACAACTAGCGGACATATCTGTGCCTGCAACACAGCGGCCCGAAGTCTGGGGGGCTACTGCCAGGGTGATATCTAGGGGGGGGGGGTCGCATGAGGTAATAGATAGACACAAGCGAAGAAATCCTTGACAGACAGTTTCAGGCATTAGGTCCTGTGCTGTGACAGGACCTAATGCCTGAGTCAGGCCGCGGGCTGTGGCTTGAACAATGGTTCTAATATATTCAATGCAGGTTGCTGCTTCTGCAGCATTTGGAGAGCTTCCTGCATAGACAACATGTCACTGCAGAAGTACTACAAATGCCAGAATACCACAGCAAGAGGGGGCCTATGGCTGCACAGATGTATAACTACTACTGCCCGTGTCACCACAATCGTCCCCGTGATATGAACAAGTCACGTCCCACACGTGATTCGAACCGAGAACTGGCATGGCCGCGCGAGTGCTTTCCAGCGCAGTACAGATTCATCAGCCGAACCAATGAGCGGGGGGAGCAGCCAGGGGGCGGTATGTACTGTGTCTCTAAGCTGTGTGAGGCCGTTGGCTGACAGTCACGGTGGCCGAGTGGTTAAGGCGTTGGACTCGAAATCCAATGGGGTTTCCCCGCACAGGTTCGAATCCTGTTCGTGACGGCTCCGGTTTTTTTGCTAAGTATTTGGATTTTAATTCTCCCAATATACTCCGTGCTGTAAAATGTAGCAGATGCGCAGGATTTCTATGCAGCGTTCATTCGTATGCTGTGTACTTTCCATAGTGTGATGGTATTAACAGATTCAAAGAAGACATGTAAATGAATTCTAGATGAAGACTTCACTCAAACAGGTGTTGAAAGCGACACAAAGTGACACACTTTTGTGCTTGTTACACAACACATGAAAAGCACACATCACATTTAATAATGGCACCCCATAAACGTGTCTTGGCGCACAACAAACTTCTTTACCAACACCACAATGTTGTTTTACGCATGTGGCCCTTTAGGGCCTGTTCACAATGTAGTGTTTCATGTGCACTACAGCGCAGAATCACAGCTCAGTAAAAGCACATGAAAATAGTCACCATTATCATCTATGAAGCTCTTTATCTCAGGGAGTTGTTCATTTGCTTGTGTGTTTTTGTAAAAACCTGCATAACATTATAATCAAAGGCGAGGCAGTGAAAATGCACAAAAATGCTATATGTGGTTTAATTAGGGCGTTTTTCAAGTCGCATGGCCCTATTTCTTATCAAACTATTAAAAACAAGGAAGAAAATAAAGCGCAGATTGTGTTTCATTTTCTAATGTGTGAATGAGCCCGTATGCAATGACCAGTGAGTAGAAGATTTGCACATGGGCAGCCTACCCACCATCATTAGTTCATCTGCATGAGGCCTTTTGTTTACAGCAAATCATTGCATCATTTGAGGGAAAAAAAACAATATGCACCAAAACTATCTCACATTATATTACTGCCATTCACCGCACCCCCTTATCCCCATAGTACATATAAGAATTAGGCATTGGCTGATCTCACTGATGCAGGGATCCCAACCTGAAAGAAGCCATTTCAGGGAGGTGTCCTTCTCATTTCAGGGAGGTGCCCTCTACGCCCCCCCCCCCCCCCCCCACTGATTTTGTTTTTAGTATTCTGACAGTTGCAGTCGTCACAATACAGGTGAAACTCGAATAATTAGAATATCGTGCAAAAGTAATTGAAGTAAGTGCTGCAAAAGGCGCCCAAACCAAGTACTGAGTACATATGCATGCTTGTACTTTTCAGAGGTCCGATATTGTTCTATGTACAATCCTTGTTTTATTGATTGCATGTAATAATCTACTTTTTTGAGGTTGTGGATTTGGGGTTCTTGGGGTTTTCATGAGCTGTAAGCCATAATCATCACAATTATGACAAATCACGGCTTGAATTATCTTGCTTTGCATGTAATGAGTCTATCTCATATATTAGTTTCACCTTTTAAGTTGCATTAGTGAAATAAATGAACTTTGCACGATATTCTAATTATTCGAGTTTCACCTGTATTTAAGAAAAAGGCATCAGAATCCATAGCTAGATTCCTATTGGCTATTTCACTTTGCAATAGCCAATAGCAAACTAGCTATTGCACCCGCCCTCTGCTGCTTTCAATCACCAAAACTGTCCTGCTGCTGGACATTTGTGAAAACACCTTTATCTGAGGGCAGATGCTCTATTTTTGGCTTTTTTCTGTAGAAATATATCTGCCTATGTCTTGTGTCCTCACATTTAGGCCTATCCTCGCTGCTGCTGCACAATTTTTACATACCTGTATCTGAGGGCCGATTCTCTAATGTTTTATGGAAAACACTTGCCTTAGTTTCATCATTTGGGCCTGTTCTAACTCCAGCAAAACTGTCCTGCCGCTGTCTAATTCCTACCAAACCATACCTGAGGGCCAAAGCCAGTGGCGTAACAATCACCATAGCAACCCAGGTGGCTGATATGGAGCCCCAGGGCACACGGGGGCCCGGCCAGGACATCCCCCTGATGTAGTGCGGGCCGCCTGGGTCGCTATGGCATTTCAGGCTGCTGGCTGTCACTGGCGGCTGTGAGGAGAAACACGTAGCCATTCATATGTGCAGCGGCGCGTACCTCCGCACAGCTGCTGAGATGATGACAACCAGCAGCTTCGGGGGAGGTGGCGGCAGTGATGGAGGAGGCGGGGCCCAGCAATCGAGGAGGCAGGTCTTAGTGATGGGGTGGCGGGCCCGGCAATCGAGGAGGTGGGGCCCAGTGACGGAGGAGGTGGGGACCGCAAGCGGTCGTGGAGGAGAAGGAGGCGGACAGAGGATCAGCCAGACAGGTAAGAGGGCTTGACCGCCCACCTGAGACTCTGCAGAGCCCACCATAGGGAGTCTATGGTGGGCTCTGCAGGGTCACCCTCAGGTTGACTGTTTGGGTTATCAGGTGGACTTCTCTAGAAATCACAAGGCCCCATACAAAATTTTGCAATGGGGCCCTGTGATTTCTAGTTATGCCCCTGGCCAAAACTCGAATATTTTTGTAAAAAAATACATATCGGAAAGTAGGCCTAATACTGCTCAATGAAAACTTGTGTTGCTGCCATAACTACCTGCAAAAACAGCCTTTTGTGTAACTGACATGTCTGAAACAATAGAGGATAGCTGTCACTGCTAGCTCCGCCCAATTGTTTATCAGTTGCCGGCATCTGTCAAAATGCCATTCTGCGGCGGGTGTTCGTTGCGAGCGGACAGGGCTGTGGTCGTCGGGTTTTTTTTCTTACTTCTATTTATTTTTTATTGTTTAATTTTTTTATTTCGTCGAGTCGTCCATCGGCACGGGGACAAGGTGCTTTTCCAGGGGCGACCCTGGAAAAGCACCCTCCCAGTGCCGAGGGCATGTGGCTTGGAATGGGAGGGAGGAAAAAGGGGTGGGGTTCCTCCTTCAAATTCCTACCAGACCTTAAGGGCCTGGTATGTCTTTAAGGGGGAACCCCACCCACTTTTCTTTTTTTTTTTTACATGGGGGTCCCTCCTCAATATTCCTACCAGACCTTAAGGGTCTGGTATTGTTTGGGTCGGGGAACTTCACGCTATAAAAAAAATGTCTTTTTTTTTTTTCTTTAGAAATGTCAGTTTTGCTGCAGCAGGTTCTATACATCGTACAGATTTGCCACTTTACAGGCAGGTTAAGGGCACCCCCAGGCACAATCTTTAAAGGAATTTTTCATTTTTGTTGTTACCCTTTAAGCAATGTTAACATCACTGCTCCTTGAAAGCGGTATTTTTTTCATTGATTTATGTCCCCCAGGGCAGTACCCGGATCCCGATACACATTTTATGGCCAATAACTTGCATATAAGCCCTCTTAAAGGTGACAATTGTTTTTGAAAGTTCTACCCCCATAGATTTGCATTGTGTTCGAGTTCGAATTCAAACTTTTTGGATGTTCTAAAGTTCGAATTCGAACCGAACTTGGGGCTGTTCGGCCCATAACTAACAGTGACACAGTTCACCCATTGCAGTGCCTGGCTTCTTTTGTTTTTTTACAGTAGCTTGTCTGGTAGCCTTACAAATGCCCCAAAATTGACTAGCAAGATTTGCCCATATTGACTTCAGTGCAATGACATTGGCCAAAAGTTGAGGTTCACCAAACATTTAGTGGCATTTGCTAAACTTCGGACAAATTTACTCTTGCTTGATTCACTTATCACTATGAGGGAGCCCAGGATCACAGGATTTTCTACTGCTTTATATTAGACTGACAGTAAACTTAGAAGTTAAATCTTAAAAATGCATTGAAGTACCCTATTAACAAAACTATTCTATGTGTGTATCACTCAGCTGTAGATCCTCAAATCAAATACGCTACACATTTGTTGGTCCTGCCCCTTGATTTTCCCCTTATGGTCACACATACTTACTTTTTATGAAGAGGTTGTGGAACTCCAGCTGCCAAAAACTCTGGAAACTGCTCCCTTCTCCTTGATCCCGGGTTTACTTGCTGTTGCCAAAAAGGGGCTTCTGAGGTTCTTCTTGATGGCCACTAGAACAATGATCCTTAGACACTGCAGGTCATCGCAGCCTCCTTATGTGGTGCAATGGGTTACTGAATTCTACCTCCCAGGTGAGCACTCACTTGTTGTCATCACTCACTGGGTGGAGGTGAAGGTGTGCCTGCATTGTGTGATTATCCTTAAGGTCCCCACACACCTTACGATAATCGTACGATAATCGCGGGAAATCCCGCGATCGTACGATTACCGTAAGGTGTGTGGAAGCCGTGCGACCTCTACTACTGTAAGGTCGCACGCCTTTAAGCTTACAAACATGTTTGAAAACCCGCCGAGCATCGTACGATGTTCGGCGGTTTGTAGCATGTCCGTACAATAACAGCCGTACGGCGCGGCTTGCGATCATCGCAAGTACGATCTGCCTATGCAAGATAGGCAGATCGTACATTTTTTTTTTAAGTACCTTAC